GATAATGACAAAACGTTTTATGTAATAAAATAATCGTCATTAAAATTTGCTAGCAAAGGGGATTTAAAATTACAATGAGAAGTTTCGAGAAGACACACATACTAAAATGACCAGCACTACGATCCGTGGGGTTACACGTTTAGTTTAAACAAACGACGGCCAGTGCTGTCAAAGTCTACGGGACGGTGATTGTTCGTTCTCTTTTATTAATCTGAAGATAAGATAAGATAAGAGTTTAATTAGCCAATTATAAAAATCGGAAATCATTTTCCTTTTGGAGCAATATACAGAGTAAAATAATAGAATAATGCAATATATAAATAAATTAAGAATTTGGTTTTGAGACGTTGTTGTTATTCTTAGCACGCTCCCCATTCACACATACACTATAACCTACAGGGGTATGCATTTTGTGTTTACATCAACAGCCCAGTGGTCATTGGGTGCAGATGCACTAAGTTGTGGTTATAAAACAGTTTGATCTATAATTAAAAAAATAATAAAATAAAACGGGAAGCTACTTCTACCTAATCCAAATAAATAGTTAAAAACAGCTCCTGTTTACAGCTCTTGCTAAAGATAGCAAGAATTGTAAATCAGAGCCAGTCGGTGGCTAAAAATAGCAGCTTACTAAGATTAAAAAATTGCATTTAAAAAGTGTACCGTGCCTGAAAACCTCCTCTCTTACTACTATCATCTTACTGTTCATGGGCCTTCCCAATTTTCACCTGTTTTTTTTCCAAATGTCTCTTTTAAATATATGTTAAAACTGTTTTTAGTAGGGATATGCGTTTACATAATGACGATGGTGTTAGCACAGTTCTGCTCCTTGTTTCAGAACTAAATTTCAATGTTCTTATTTTTGTGTCAAGTAAATTATTCGTGTTCCTTGGTCTTTGGCTCATCTTATTAAGTGTGTCTTTTGACATAGCTGTACGTTTCTTTATTTATGTGTCACATTTCGCATCTGATGTCAACATGAACCCGAGATATTTAAATTGGTATAGTTGTTTTAATTTTATTTCTTTGCTAAGTTTGAATTTAAACTACCGTGAACGGTAAACTGTTTATACTGTATATTTATCTATTTTTAAGCTCAAAATGATGGGTGTTGAATTTGTAATGAACAATTTGCACTAAAGCGATACACAGTCTTGGTATCATTGGGTGCATTCCCAGAGATTTAGATCTATCCTGAGATTAAGATTTAGATCGACCTAACTCCATGGGGGTTCAAGCTAAATTGCAGTCAGCCGAGCGCGCACCATAGTTAATTACCCCTTAACAGCTTTTAGTTGGCGGGACAGACGCTTAAGCCGGCTAAGCTGACAGTAATCTAGTGAGACTCCCCACAGGGATAGATCGATCTAAAATCTATGGAAATGGGGTCTTTATTTTGCCAAGTTCGACTTTACTGCCATTGAAATTAACCAGATACATTAATCCTACAACGGTTAATGCAGCTTTATATATCAATTAGCTATGAAGGTTGACCTTTAAGACTTACAGGAAGGTGAACCTACCCCTGTAGTAGTATACCAGTATTTTTCAAATCCTTGGAAGTGATGTATCTGGGCTGAGAATTCAATGTGTAGATACAGGATGAATGTAATGAATTTCTATATGTTGTCATATACAACATACTGGTACCGTTATTCAAATATCAAAATGCAAGCGTTTATGAAAGCAGTAACTTTATTATTTATCACTCATATTATTCAAGTGTCATGTCACGGCGTTCATACATCAACGATCATGGTACTTCAGTTTATTCTTTTTTCGGTCCATTGGATGAGCTCGTTGTTGGACAGTCGTTGGCTTGTTGCAAAGGCCTAAGGCTGTCGGCGCATGAAGTTCCTTGTCTTCCACTTCTTCTTCTTCTTTCAGTTTTTCCGCAGAGTACGAGTATTGTGTCCCGTCTTTTCTGATGGTATGGCTCAGAGATTTCATTTGTCTTTTTCTGATTGTTTTCATCAGTGAGCGCTGTACTCCTGCAAGTTGTAACAATTCTTCAGTCTTTCTTTCTGTCCTGGATATTCTCAACATGTCCGTAGCTTCCAGTTTCTTCTCTGTGTTGTTGAAGATATCCCAGTATTCACAATAATGCAAGAAGACTCACCAGACGTAGGATTTCAATGTTCTTATTTTTGTGTCAAGTAAATTATTCGTGTTCCTTGGTCTTTGGCTCATCTTATTAAGTGTGTCTTTTGACATTGCTGTACGTTTCTTTATTTCTGTGTCACATTTCGCATCTGATGTCAACATGAACCCGAGATATTTAAATTGGTATAGTTGTTTTAATTTTATTTCTTTGCTAAGTTTACATTTAAGTATTTGTTTTTGCTTTGATACTACCATGTATTCAATTTATTTGGCATATAGTTCCAGTCTCATTTTCCTGTTTTCTTTTGACTGTATTCTTTTCTGTGTATTCAGAATTCTTAGGAGTTGTTACCATAATCTACAATGAGGACCGTTCTCTTGATACCTTTGATTGTTGATGTTTTGTTCATTAACTATTATTCCATCATGATCAGAGATGTTGCTTAGAATTATTTCACTATGGATATTAAAGAGGTCAGGTGACAGCACACATCTATGTCTCACTCCTCTACGTATTATCATTTACGCTGATATTTATTTTAAGTAGAGGGAAACAAAAGAGGACGAGAAAGACAGCAATGTAAAACGTTTGGGTGGCTGCGCGACGTTGTCATCTTCCTTGTATTTACTCCTATCAAACAATTATATAAAAAATTGGACAATGTGTTTACTCCCAGTGATTTACTTTTACTTTGTAACGGTCTGTTTTCGATCTTTTGGCATCCTGCAGTACACAGTTTTGTGGATAATGGCACACCCTTGAAATGTAAGATAAGAATTTTCTTCTCTGCCTTTTTTAAGACACTTAATTCCATTAAAATGTTAATTTTGCATTATAACGTCTCTTTCTTTGGTGGATCATGTGTGTTTTGTTCACAATTCAGTTTCCCTCTCGAACTGCACTACCAACCGTGAGAGACAGTTTAAAAGGCTTAAATGTGTAAGTTTATGATGATGGATACGCATGTGCTAAATGCTGCCTGTTGTTTGTAGACTACGTGTACAAAATGATAGAAACCTTCATTAAAAAATACACCAAACGTGAAAATACATATAAGAATAGAGATATTACGCTAGAAGTGATGTGCAACAAAAATTATTACTGCTCGCCTGGTAATGGTAATATAAAGGAATGGGATGGTTTAGGTAGTAGATATGTCCATATATCGGTACTGAAAACAGGACAAAATATTTAAGAAAGAAAGTTCACAAAAAAAGGTCCTACCTACCTTGTTGTTCGATTTCACGAAAAGTAAGGAAAATGGAAAACGCCTTCCGGGTCTTAAAAAAATGGCAGTTCAAGCTTGAAGCAGTAAAGAAAATGGAAAACGCCTCTCGGGTCTTAAAAAAATGGCAGTTCAAGCTTGAGCACCGACTTCTGAACAATTTACGCTCTGCTGATGTTACTTATATAAAAACACAGTGATGAGACCACCAACGTGTTAAATGTCATGATCACATTGCGCATGCGTTAAGTAACTGGGTTACACAGTCAACTTTAGGAGATTTAAATAGCGCAAATCCCTACAGAATATTAATTTAGGATAATTTAAATTATTAAAATAGGTGCGTCGATATGGTTTTCTTAACAGCAATTTTCATGTTATTTAGTGACTATAATCCATAAAATGATGAAATTCAAAATAATTTGAGGTTTCAAAATGCTCGTGATTTGAACCATTGCCCCTTGTAAATGCTAGTAATTTTAGACTTATGCCTATACCACTTTCAATGGACCCGCACCATGCAGCAATTTTGAAATATATTGCCTGTTTTTTTAGAAATCCGGACTGACTACCAAAATGAAAGATACTGATTTTTAAACGTAATTACGACTACGTCTCGGCCAATCGAGATACCACTAAGGGTACATACACTGCACTTTTAAACGACGTTTTCTCTACTAGTTGTCAATCATTTTGCGATGTCCATAGTTTAAGTCTAATTTCGTTCATTTTGCATTTAAATGTATTGAAACAAATCACGTCGGAAGTTTTAATTTGTTTTATTTGACACTAACTTGCAATTGTGAGGATAATTAGCCCAGTAATCTAACCTAAATTGACCTTCTTTAACTTTCTTTGTTTTTCATTTAAAGAATATTCCAATTTCTGTGCCATTTCTCATAAAGTACAACATGAAAGCAACTTAATAGAATGGCATTTACATGTACCAGTGTACCGGTCACAATCTTTAATAGTTTTGCGATATATATTACAGTTCAATAAAGATTTTAAAAATACCTCTGTGTACCAATCTTCAAAAAACACTACCGCCCCTATGTTTGGATTACGTACTGCCTTCATTGCAACGTGTGGCAAAAGGATACTACTATTTCTAGTACTACTTTTACTACGTGTACTAAAACCTGTGCTGGTACAACTACTACTAAAGATAATGATCACCAGGGAAATAATTATATAAAACGTTATTGTTATTTTTTATTCACGCACTTATAGGTAATAGTAACATATATACGTTGATGCCTAGAACATTTTTGACATTACTATATTTTTCTAATATAATGGTTATCTGTACTACCCACTCTGTTTTCTTGACAGCTGTACCATTACTATATTACCAGGACAACACCACGAAAACAACTCCAAGAAAACAACATACACTATTCATGAAACCATATATGCACTGAGTAATGTTTATGGTGCACCTTTTTTCAAAATGTTTATAATAATGAAAATAAACAGATGAAAATGCAATGAGAATGAAAGAAAAAAACGTTCGAGATGCTTTATAATAGTATTAATGGGAAAACAAAAGTTATTACACGGAGACCGATGCCCAAGTGCAAGGATTGTCATCACCGCACCTTCGTCGTGTGTGTGTGTGTGTATTTGTGTAAAAATGAATATGACAATAACAACTTATTTACTCGTCTTTCATTGCCAAGATAACTCCACGAAAGGGGACAGAAAGCGTTCCACTGGATACTGTTGGTTGTCTATCCCATATTTCCTGCAAACAGCCAACAGATTTTTCTTTGCCTCATTTACAGATTTCCCCTTTACAGCTACCTGGCATAACAAGTTCTCATAGGGCTCATTTTCTTTCAACTCGGACTCCATTGGAAATAATATTATTTCCCCTTTTTCATGAGCCTCAGCAAGGATCTCCAGTGTGGCAATGCCCGGTCGCGATAGTGCCTTGGCGTGGGCTGTTGTGGTACACATGACCCCTATCAGCTGACACCTTGGCTCCAATGGCCAGACGCGTGGTTGTATCCCACATGCAATCAAGAAATTTAGGAAAAGGATATCTGTTTCGAAGACGGTGCGTATCCAGTTCCGGTAATGGGCGCCGGTTACTCGTTCGTTGATCTCGATCAGTTTCGGTCCCGTCGGCGCCATTTTAAACTCGACACTATACACTCCATCTGTGAGACCAACCGCGTCAACACACTGCTTTGTGGCCATTACCATCTGCCGCTGCTTGTCAAGGGGTAAACATGACGGCATACACGATGAAGTCTCAAAAAAGAGAGGAAAGCGGGTAGGTCCACAATCAGAGATGAATGCCGCTAAAATCTTTCCTCGAAACATGACGACCTCCACCCCATGTTTTGTTCCTAGTGAATACTCTGCTAGGTGCATTTCCTTGCCGTAACCAATGCCAAACGCTTTTTCATCCGTGTTCTGTAATGTTTTCTGAATGCTGTTGAAGTATTTCAGACACTCTTTCTCGTCTTTTACCAGATGGATACCGAAGGAATATGCCCCGTATTCCGGCTTCAGAATGGCGGGATACCTAATAAGATTTGAGGATCCCTTCACATCTTCAGGTCGGACAATTTCGTGTATCTTGACTGCATATAGATGAGGTTTTGGCAAGAAAGAGCTGCAGGTCGACGATGCCAACAAAGCATTTTGGCTCAAACTTTTCTTCTTAGCCATTCTTGAAGCCTCGGGGGTATTTCCAAGCATGCGCAGTGCTTCGCACACCAAAGCCGTCAGAGGAACGTAATTCTCGTCCACTGTCATGCATCCGTCTACGTCTAGGCCTTGTGTGCGCAGTAGATGGACAATTTTCTTGGTATTTTCATCATCGTGGCTGTGGTCTTCTATATCACATTGGATAAACTTGTATACCCTTTTCACCGCACTGTGGTTAGGATCAGGGTCAATCAAAATGATCTGAAATGAGTTAAAAGACGCACATGCATTAAGGAGCATTCTTTAACAAGACTTCATTTCAAGGTAGGTACGACTATTACCTTGATATCAATAACAATTCTGATACTTTTCTAATAAAACTTCTTATAAAAATAAATTTCATATAGACTTTAAACGGCAAGTTTACGACATGATATATATTTAAAGTAAAGTAAATAAAAAAAATGTATAACATTTTTTTCAAATCACGGACCCTCTAAATTCAAGTGTTAAATATGTATTTCTACTGCTGAAAACATTTACCTTAACATTGTACTCCTCGGCAGCTCTCCAAACGAACTCTTTACGTATCCTTTCTCCTCCACCAATAAGGAGGATTTTCTTTCCTCGAAGAAGAAATCGCTGACTACGGTTGACCATGGTTGCCACCAGGGGGCGCACGCTGCTTCCAAGCTCGGCAGGGTTCTGCAATTCGCACATCTGTGTGTTTTCAATGATTTTCCTGCTGTTATTGACACTGACAGCAACGGCCTCATAACTGCCGGCTTCTTGCTGAGTCAAGACAAAATTGACTCCTGAAAAATATAAATATATCTAAAAAAAAATGTAGCTTTTTATCATGCAATAAAGCCAGAGCAAGCGAATCTAGTTACCACCATTTCTGAGTCGTCTTTGTACTGCGTAAGCCTGTTATCTCATATACACTACTTAAAAGAAGTTATGGTACGCTTAGAACAGCTGATGTTTAGATATAAAGTTTACTGTTCAATAACTTAAACCATAAAATTATAATTGTTTACCATTATATTTTAATAATCGTGAATTGTATTTGAAGCCAAGTAATTTGTTTATTTATTTATTTTTTACTTATTTCACCCACCAAAATAAGCCTGTTATCTCATATACACTACTTAAAAGAAGTTAGGGAACGTTTAGAACAGCTGATGTTAAGAAAGAAAGTTTACTGTTCAATAACTGTAAGCGTAAAAATTACAAATTATAGATTTTTATTGTTTACCATAAAAAAATTTAAATCGTGCATTGTGTTTGAACGTATGCAATTTTATCTTTATTTTTACTTTTTTCACCCGCCATTATAAAAATAATAATATTTACTTTTAGCGAGCAAAAAATATTTGAATTGCTACACTGACATCCAATACATAATGACGACTTTGTCTTAGAATTGCTTAAATTTCATAATAGTAGGTATGTCTCAAACTTTTGCGTCTTAAAAGGCGGGTGTCGTTTACGCCCTTTTGAGCAGTATATTATTTGCATTCAAAAAAATGTTAACTTTAGAGATATACACAATATTGTTTTAAATCTTAAATTATTCAAATATTTACCTATAATGCCTGTTTCTGCCAATAATCCTCCGCGTTCTTTGTTGAGACAGTTCTCGTGCTTCATCCAATTTCCCAATATATCCTCCGCTTTTTCTTTAATCATTGAACGTATCTGTAAATCATGTACATAATATAAATTCTATTTTTTACAGATTTTGTGGCTTAAATGTATTGCCATTACCTCATTGCTTCTGCAGGGATCTCAGCTTTTTAACTAAGTTACTTCAAAGACCCACCTTTTCAATTTTGGATTTATTCTGTAACCCCCACTGAATCAGAAAGCTTTCCAGAGACAATGGTAAAGTATTGTTGCAATGGAGCGTTCTGTCCGCGTGACCAATGCCGCAGACAATGTCTGAAACCAGCTGATTCCCATCAGGAGTGCAGCAGACGACAGCTCGTATTGTGCAGGACAATGCCTTTGACTTGATGCCGACTGAAAGAAAAGCAGAACAAAGATGTCAGTAAACTGGTCGCGTGATTCCTTTATGAGAAAATACATGGGGTATATTCTTTAAATATAAAAGGCTCACACAACCATTCCATGCACTCATACATATTTTATAAATACTGGCATTTGCTGTATATATTTAACCTGTAAAGAAACGTACCTGCCTGTTCCTCATAGTCAAGATGAGGGACAGGTAGTGGTTTAAGAGTCTCACAAAATGCCTCCACTATGATACTCTCCCCATCTTCCAGAACAGCCAGACCTTGACATACGGCGCTGTAGATGTTCTCTACGTCTTTGGCAGAATGGTAGGTAACACTTCGTGACGCAGGCTCACCTGCCTTGACAACTACCTAGACAGTAAAAATATTTTGTGAAAATTGTTGTCAGCCCGTCAAACTCTAAACATATTAAACCACCAAACACGTATTTATACATATGAAAGATCGGGAGCAATATCAACTTGGAACAGCGGGTGACTGAAAAGAAAGGTTGTCAACTTTAATAATTTTACCCATTATTATTTTTGTAGAAGGAATTCTCTCTCTCTCTCTCTCTCTTTCTCTCTCTCAACACACACACAAACACATATACAGTTTACAAACACATAAAAAGAGGGATCCGCTGATAAACGTACCGCTTTAATCTCTTTTGTAGACAAAGAACTAATAAAAACATCCAACTCCTTCTTCGTTGCCTCTTTTCCGTCTTCTTTATCNTCTCTCTCTCTCTCTCTCTCTCTCTCTCTCTCTCTCTCTCTCAACACACACACACAAACACATATACAGTTTACAAACACATAAAAAGAGGGATCCGCTGATAAACGTACCGCTTTAATCTCTTTTGTAGACAAAGAACTAATAAAAACATCCAACTCCTTCTTCGTTGCCTCTTTTCCGTCTTCTTTATCGTCAACAGTGACAACGGAAATATTATTTCTCTCCGAGTAATAAGGCATTCGTGATCTGAACACGAACGCCAACGTATCGGGAAAGGCAACACCAGCGTCCGCTACCAGAATACGAGTGAGAATTCGATCATCCAAATACTTCATCAAATCTTGCGTGACTCCTAGTGGGCAATCTAATTTTTTCTCAAATTCGACACTGGTGTGACTTTCACTGTGCAAGCGTACATCCGATATCTCCTCATCTGCAATAAGAGAAATAAAAATGAATAAGTAAACAAATATTATATATAATACATCTTTTAAACAAGTATCTTAAAAATGAATTGATAAATAAATGAGAGTGAAGTTAACCGATGTTGTCACACAATGCTATATTTAACTTCCGGATATCATACCTATGGAAAGGTTAATAAAGTAAGTAACACGGCGAGGTGGAGTGAAGATGTCCAAAAATGTTCGACCACAAGAATTAAATGTGACAGCCTTGTGTACTCGTAAGGTTTGCAGATCTCCTTCATTGGTGGGTTCTTTCTGAAGCCATGTTAAAGAGGGTACCAGTAACATACCACCAGGACACTGCTTCCCACCCTCTCAACACAGGTTCAGACAGGTCAGAGGTTCCCCCAGTACCACCATCGTGATCTCTTCAATCGTAGACTTAGTCCGCCGATTCTGTAAAAATTTGCAAGTGATAGTGACATACTGTAGGAATACACATGAAAATGTACTATTTTAACATTAGCAGATAATTTTCTTCCATTCTTTTGACTGAAAGAAATAAGATACAAGCTAGATGGACGAAAAAGACCCATTTTTATGAACGTTGATTGAAGGGTTCACTTGGGCCTTTCTGGATTAACTTATGGTATTTTGATAATTTCACATTATTACCTGCATTCTCTCTATGGTTTCTGGCAAGTCGTAAAATCCCAGTCCTTGCTGCAAATCATGCCAAAACTGACTTTTCTTGATTTCTTCGAGTAAAGAGCAGTGGTCCATTTTACGTGCCTATTAGGGTAAATGTTCATATCAATAGATAATACTGCATCATTTACTGCACTTTTTTTATTGGAATATGCAATAACTTCTGTTAACACACCATTTCCCTTCATTAGCTAGCACTCACCTATCGCGTTTAAATCTATTTTCTCATAAAGTACTAGTACTTGCTGGCATTTACACCACATCAGATGCCCTTTTCATAATACGTTACATGTCTGAATAGGAGACATAGGGTAAATGTTATGAAATTATGATATTTAATATTTGTAAAACAAAGACATTTTAACCTCGTTTTTACCTCTGAGAAGGAAGTTATGTTTGTGGTTCAGTTAGTTAATTTTTATTTTTGCAGCATTATGCAAATGCCATGGACGGATTTTTATTAAGTTTATAGGATAGGTCACAACTTAGACAAGGAAAAATGTTTAGGTGTGAAGGTTGAAACGGATTACATCGTACCATATTGAATTGCGACTGATTACCATTGTAACGAGCTCCCATGGCACTTAGATGTTCGCACTATTAAAATGATGATATTTTTCATTTATAAAGAGCGACACTTAGCTTATAAAAAGTGGCATATGTACATATGTATCTATTATCCCTGAAATAATGATGTTGATTTTGGTTAACAGCGCTAGATAGGGAACGACAGAACGTTCTCCTCAGATTTTTACAACAGTTTTCGTATGCAAGGCAGATCGATACCTCGGTATTTTCATGTTGTGGTTAAAACCAGACACATTCATCTTGTTTATGATAAACAGGTTGTCTTTAAATGGGACCAGTAGGATTAAAGACAGTATACAGCCATTTGTATGTTACAGCATTTTTTCTAATTCGCGGAAGGATATCCATAAGGGTTGAGAACAAATGGGAATTGGATTTGGATCAATGTAATGAAGTCTAATACATAACCAAATAGAACATAGAGGTACCGTCATACCTTAGAAGCCAAATAATGCATTTGTGAAAGCAGCCGTTTTGGTGATTATTTTTCAGTTTCAGGCATTTTTTATTTCGAAGAGTACAAGGCAGACAGCTAGAATACAAAGTGCATGTAGATCCTAGGGGTTGCTGCCTATTAAACAATGACTTAGGTTGGGCAAAATGTTAACCCTCAAATGGCAAAATTTACGTCTGATTTGAAACGATCCGTTCTCGAGTCTTCCAGATCATGCTTTACAATAGACACAGTGTCTTAGACTATGAACCATTCTTAAAAAATGTTTTGGCTTCAAAGCTCGAAGTTGCTGTATAACGTCACATTACTTTATGAACACTCATGTTTTCATTCGCAAACTGCACTACAAACTATTGAGAGAAAATGGGTTTAAAAATGGTATTTCATGATAAATATAATATAACTCTCACATGGGTATGAAATTGCCAAATGCTGTCTGTTCCCTGTACATGTATACATGTAGAATGACACGTACATTCATTCATACATTCAAAAATTTTAGTATTGCCCATATTGTAATACTTATATTAAGGTATGGGATGGGACCCTAACTATGTCAATATATCGGAATTGAAAATGGCAAAATCATGGAAAAAATAACCCATATTTTAGTTTAAAATTCTTACCTTGTTGTTAAGTAAAGAGCATTGAAAACGTCTCCCGGGTCTTCAGAAAGTAATATGTCGCCCTCAACCTTAAGACTCAGACTTCTTGCGCTGTGCCGATATTATTAATATCTAAACACAGTGATGAGACTGCCAACGTGTAAATGTCACAATCAGTTTGCGCATGCACTACACACTTTGTAACCATGCAGGTGGTACAATCGGCTCTTTGTAAATTAGAGATGTTTATTTCCACAAAAACATGAACTTAATAATAATTAATAATTTCAATGATCAACATAGGTGTGTCGATTTGATATTCCTAAGTGTATGGTTATGTTATTTATTGAAAAGGAATTCATATTCATATACGCTTGGTATTTGGTACATTCCCCCGGTATAAAGCTAGTGATTCTCTCTATAGAGAGATGTGTTCACATGTGTGACATAACTTTCCCCACATATTCAAACGCCCTGTTACTGTATATGCATTCAGTTCAACCTCATGGACTCTCCGGACCATGTTGTTATCAAGTTTTTCTCCAGTTTTCACAGCTATCAATGTAATTAAAGTTTTCAAGGTTATCATGTTACAAGTTTATATGTAATCAGTTTTTAAGTTTTAAGTTTATGGAGTTTCTTGAAATATGCAATCTATGAACTCCAAAAACGTTTCATCTGTTTTTAATCCACGGTTATGGTACAGTTACCTCGTATATTCTTCTGAAGACCCTTTTTGCCACCTAAAAATCTTAAGCAAACTGAGTATATTCTTCGGATATAATATAATATAATATAATATAATATAATATAATATAATATATAAACATTTTTTCAAGAAATGACGAGCACTTACATAGAAATATTGACCTTTTACACTGTATGTCAAATGTCGCAACTATTTCTCATTTATGCTAAATGATCCAAACAAACCTAGCCGCAAAAGTAATATTTTTATTTGACACTTAAGGTAGCAATTAACAGTAAATGGCCAAAATGTGGGTGTTTTTCTGAATTTGTCAGTATTAGATAGATGAAATATCAACTACATATCAGCCTATCTTAAAATAATGGAAGTTTACAAATAAACCCGTAATTTTAGCCTAATTGCTGATTTACCCCTGTGGTAGCGTGTCTGAGTTTTAAAGTAGGTCACACTTGACCATATATGTGTTTGATAGGCAGCTCCACCGGCAGCTGTATATTTCCCCGTACTAGATTGCTGCTAAGCCTTTCACATTCTGTGAGTAACGTCCCGCTTTCGCTTGCCAAACAATACTTTTCATTTTGAATTTATCAGTGAACTTAATTCTGACGATCTACTAAAGCTCTAAAAAGCAGACATATAGATGAGACGTATATGGGCAAAGGCAATCCCCCTAGGTGTCACGTGGTGAAGAAGGCTGACGTCACGACTAACATGGTGGCTGCTGTCAATGCATGGAGGGGGCCTCCGGTTGAAAATGTTCAATAATAATGTTGAAAATGGATGAAAGTCATAGTGGCAGTTACATAGGCAGTGAGTAGAGGGTTGAACCAGTATAAATAACTAAATTTCTCAGCTTGCCAATGCAGCTCACTGGTTATATCTCGTTGGAATCTCCGGGGAGCACTAAAAGGCTGATTTCTCTGCTTCAGTTTATGGCTTAAAGAGAACGATTTAGACCAGTGTCAAAATTAATTAGAACTCTCAACCGAAGAAAGCTGGCATTCATTCGTTAGATCTAAGGTTTGTCTTAAAATATGTTTCTGGGATTTCATAACATCAGCTCTGTTTTCAACTTACGCGTGCTTTAGTTAGACTAGGGGGTCTCGTTGAACTGGAAAGCAGGTTTATTTTGATATCTCTGCTAATTTAAAACATGTCGCTAATTTGAGGCGCATCCTTGTTGATCCAAGTGAGGGCTCACGAGTCAAGCTGTCTACACATGTCCATTTGAAGTGGACTTCTAGTTTTTAAGGTGTTAAGATCATGTTGAGCACACCTATTAAGCATTATATCTCATTACGTAACGATTACATAATAAAATAAGGATATGAAATGAAAAGCTGTTGAAATAAGCTTTCTATTGATATGTAACATGTTGGTATATCTTGGGCGGTTTAGAAGATAGCTACCCCTGTTAATTGCTAACTTAATTGTGACATAAATTCTCCGTCTAACTTCTTTTGTTTATTTTAAGAAAAAATTAATTTCTATGCCTCCTTTCATGAAGTACAACATGAAATAAACTTAAAAAAATGCCATCCACATGTAGCATTGCGCTGGTCACAACCAATAATGCCGTTGCGTCATATAGTTATATAGCGTATTATAGTACAATAAAGATTACATACCTCGGAGTAAAAAAAAAAAAAAGACTGCCGATCCTAGGTTTGCCCCTCTATGTACTGCTTACTGCCCACATCCACATTGCAATGTTTGTTAAAAGGGCACCACTAGTAGTACTACCTGCGACTACTACTAAAAACAATGATCACGAGGGGAATAAACAGGCGTTGACAGTACAGTACGAATGAAAAGTGGAAAAGTTGCAGCGTCTTAGGTTTTACTCAAGTATGCTAGCTATTAAACTACTGTAGCAGAAATCAAAGGCTATGGAGACAGAGTCTATAAAGGATAGAAGTTTTCATCTGTGATATTTAGTCAGATAATGGTGCAATTAACAGCATTGTAAAACGCATAAAATAACCTTGGTTCTCGCTCATTCAATGATGTTGTAGTTACTTATCTAGGCTGATATTTAATGGATTTGTGTTAAAATGCATTCTGATAGTTTTCATTGAAACACACCCTGCATTCCTTACGGTTGGGTCACTGTCTTTCATGGCCAAGATAACTCCACGAAAGGGGACAGAAAGCGTTCCACTGGATACTGTTGGTTGTTTATCCCATATTTCCTGCAAACTGCCAACAGCTAGCTTTTTCTTCGCTTCATCTACAGATTTCCCCTTAACAGCTACATGACATAACGGCTTCTCAAAAGGCTCATTTTCCTCCAAGTTGGGCTCTGTTGGAAAGAAAATTATTTCTCCTTTTTCATGAGCCTCAGCAAGGATCTCCAGTGTAGCAATGCCCGGCCGCGATAGTGCCTTGGCGTGGGCTGTTGTGGTACACATGACCCCTATGAGCTGGCACCTTGGCTCCAATGGCCGGACGCTGGGTTGTATCCCACACGCAATTAAGAAATTTAGGAAAAGGATATCTGTTTCGAAGACGGCTAGTATCCAGTTCATTACCATCTATCCTTGCTTGTCAAGGGGTAAACATAACGGAATACACGATGAAGTCTTAAAAAAGAGAGGAAAGCGGGTAGGTCCACAATCAGAGATGAATGCCGCTAAAATCTCTCCTCGAAACATGACGACCTCCACCCCATGTTTGGTTCCCATTGCATACTCTGCTAGGTGTATTTCGTTGCCGTAACCAATACCAAAGGTTTCTTCGTCAGTATTATCTAATGTTTTTTTAATGTTGTTGAAATACCTGAGACATTTTTCTTCGTCCTCGACGAGATGGATACCGAAGGAATATGTCCCGTATTCCGGCTTCAGAATGGCGGGATCGATACCTAATAAGATTTGACGATCCTTTCACATCTTCAGTTCGAACAATTTTGTGTATCTTGACTGCATATAGATAAAGGTTTGGCAAGAAAGAGCTGAAGGTTGAAAATGCCAATATAGCCTTTTGGCTCAGACTTTTCTTCTTAGCCTTTCTTGAAGGCTCGGGGGTGTTTCCAAGCATGCGCAGTGCTTCGCACACCAGAGCCGTCAGAGGAACGTGATTCTCGTCCACATGTAGCCATGCATCTGTCTACGGCTAAGCCCTGTGTGCGCAGTAGATGAACACTTTTCTCGGCATTTATTCAAACGCTAAAGTTTAAAGGTCCCTCGTGAACAAGAGATTATTGCAAGCTGGTTATTTTACACGACCAGTGCGGAAACCGCTGTTAACAGCAGTTCATATACATTGTACAGCGACATCTGTAGTGGTCTGGGGACCACGTGCGTTTGCAGCCAAACCACTGTAAACACGTCGTTTTCAGTGATGAGGCCAAATATGGAGTATTTAGAGTTGAGAGTCGAATCCGTATATGCCGACGTGTACGAGAGGTATATAACGACAATTGTTTACTGCCTTGGGTGCAAGCAGGGGTGGTAGCGTCTCTGTTTGGGGAGCATTTCATGCCGTTGCCAAAACCCGTTTTTTTTTTTTTTTTAAGGCAACCTCAAACAGGATTCCTACAGAAACATTCTACAAAAACAATGTTAACAATGTAAGAGTCATCTTCTTTTGTGTACCAAGATGACTACGTACCCCCACATCGAGCTCGCAGAATCACTGTTTTTTTTTTTTTTTTTTTTTTTCAAAACTAAGGGGTTCAGCAACTACCCTGGCCTGAAAACTCCTCAGATATAAAACCGATTGAAAATCAGTGTGGGCGGTTGTAACTCCCTATAGCAGGCAAATATCACTGCGCGGAATGATATCCCCATCCAATCTCTGAAAAACTTGTCACAGGGTATGCCATGTAGTGCGAGGGCGCTGCAAGCGGCTGCTGGTCTTACCCGCTGTTGGTTACTACTTGATTTAGTGTAATGAATTATTTGACTGTGTAGCATAGCACTGTCCTGAGGCTATCATTTTCTTTAAGTGTGTGTCCACGAGAAAACCAACCCAAATGTAGAAAATGCGGCAAGGTGGGGGTGAACGGATTTACATCATATTTGGTGTGTTTGAACCTTTATTTGAACAATATCTGAGGCTGCAATATTTCCTGAAAAAAATCCCTACTTACAGAGATATGGCCAGTGACAATTTGGGGGTATAATCAACCAAAAATTCTTCTGAAAAACAGGGTTATATTGATTGGCTTTANTCGTTTTGGTGATTATTTTTCAGTTTCAGGCATTTTTGATTTCGAAGAGTACAAGGCAGACAGCTAGAGTACAAAGTGCATGTAGATCCTAGGGGTTGCTGCCTATTAAACAATGACTTAGGTTGGGCAAAATGTTAACCCTCAAATGGCAAAATTTACGTCTGATTTCAAACGATCCGTTCTCGAGTCTTCCAGATCATGCTTTACAATAGACACAGTGTCTTAGACTATGAACCATTCTTAAAAAATGTTTTGGCTTCAAAGCTTGAAGTTGCTGTATAACGTCACATTACTTTGTGAACACTCATGTTTTCATTCGCAAACTGCACTACAAACTATTGAGAGAAAATGGGTTTAAAAATGGTATTTCATGATAAATATAATATAACTCTCACATGGGTATGAAATTGCCAAATGCTGTCTGTCCCCTGTACATGTATACATGTAGAATGACACGTACATTCATTCATACATTCAAAAATTTTAGTATTGCCCATATGGTAATACTTATATTAAGGTATGGGATGGGACCCTAACTATGTCAATATATCGGAATTGAAAATGGCAAAATCATGGAAAAAATAACCCATATTTTAGTTTAAAATTCTTACCTTGTTGTTAAGTAAAGAGCATTGAAAACGTCTCCCGGGTCTTCAGAAAGTAATATGTCGCCCTCAACCTTAAGACTCAGACTTCTTGCGCTGTGCCGATATTATTAATATCTAAACACAGTGATGAGACTGCCAACGTGTAAATGTCACAATCAGTTTGCGCATGCACTACACACTTTGTAACCATGCAGGTGGTACAATCGGCTCTTTGTAAATTAGAGATGTTTATTTCCACAAAAACATGAACTTAAAGATAATTTCAATGATCAACATAGGTGTGTCGATTTGATATTCCTAAGTGTATGGTTATGTTATCTATTGAAAAAGAATTCATATTCATATACGCTTGGTATTTGGTACATTCCCCCGGTATAAAGCTAATGATTCTCTCTATGGAGAGATGTGTTCACATGTGTGACATAACTTTCCCCACATATTCAAACGCCCTGTTACTGTATATGCATTCAGTTCAACCTCATGGACTCTCCGGACCATGTTGTTATCAAGTTTTTTTACCATTTTCTCCAGTTTTCACAGCTATTAATGTTATCACAGTTTTCAAGGCTATCAAGTTTATATGTAATCAGTTTATAAGTTTTACGTTTATGGAATTTATTCAGATATAGAATATATGAGCTCCAAAAACGTTTAATCTGATTTTATTCCACGGTTACGGTACAGTTACCCCGTATGTTCTTCTCAATACCATTTTTGCCACCTAAAAAAATCTTAGGCTAACTAAACTGAGTACATTCTTCGGATATAATATAATATAATATAATATAATATAATATAATATAATATAATATGACAATAAATAGACATTTTTCAAGCACTGACCATTTATGTCAACTGTCGCAACAACTATTTCGCATTTATGCAAAATGTTTCCAAACAAATCAAGCCGGGAAAATTGTATTTTTATTTGACACTTACTTGCGACAATAATTCTGCGTCTAACCTAAAAAAAATGATCTAATCCACGTTGACCATCTTTTACTTCTTTTCTTCATTTTAAGAAAAAATGAATTTCTATGCCACCTTTCATGAAGTACAACAGTAAATAAACTTAATAAAATGGCATTCACATGTAGCAGCGCGCCGGTCACAACCAATAACAGTGTTGCCTCACATTATAGTACAATAAAAATTGCTTACCTCTGAGTACCAATCTTCCAAAAAAAAAAAAAAATAAAATAAAATAAATAAATAAATAAATAAAAAATAATAATAATAAAATAATACTAAATAAAAAGAAAACTCTACCGACCCCATGTCTAACCCTCTATGCACTGCGTGCTGCCTGCCTTGCAACGTTACCACTAGTTCTAAAAGAACTACATATACTAAAACCTGTACTAGTGCGGCTACTGCTAAAAATAAAATAAACAGGCGTTGACAGTACAGTAAGAATGAAAAGTGGAAAAATTGCAGCGTCTTAGGTTTTACTCAAGCATGCTGTTAAACTACTGTGGCAGAAATCAAAGGTTATGGAGACAGAGTCTGTCAAAGAAATAAGCTATCATCTGTGATATGTACATGTTGTCACATAATGATGCAATTAACAACACTGTAAAACGCACAAAACAACCTTTGTTGTTGCCCATTCAGTGCTGTTGTAGTTACTTATCTAAGCTGATATTTAATAAATCTGTGTTAAAATGCGTATTATAGCTTTCATTGAAGCATACCCTGCATTCCTTAGGGTTGCGTCACTGTCTTTCATTGCCAGGACAACTCCACGAAAGGGGACAGAAAGCGCTCCACTAGATACTGTTGGTTGTCTATCCCATATTTCCTGCAAACAGCCAACAGCTTTTTCTTCGCTTCATCTACAGATTTCCCCTTAACAGCTACATGAAATAATGGCTTCTCAAAGGGTTCATTTCCCTCCAAGTTGGGCTCTATTGGGAAGAAAATTATTTCTCCTTTTTCATGAGCCTTGGCAAGGATCTCCAGTGTAGCAATGCCCGGTTGCGATAGTGCCTCGGCGTGGGCTGTTGTGGTACACATGACCCCCATGAGCTGACACATTGGCTCCAATGGCCGGACGCTGGGTTGTATCCCACATGCAATTAAGAAATTTAGGAAAAGGATATCCGTATCAAAGACGGCTAGTATCCAGTTCCGGTAATGGTATCCAGTCATTCTACCTTTGATCTCAGTCAATTTTGGTCCCATGGGTGTCATTTTAAACTCAATATTATACACACCATCAGTGAGACCAACTGCTCTAACACACTGCTGTGTGGCCGTTACCAACTGTCGTTGCTTGTCAAGTGGTAAACATGACGGCATACACGATGAAGTCTCGATAAAAAGCGGAAGGCGAGTAGGTCCACAATCAGAGATGAATGCCGCTAAAATCTTTCCTCGAAACATGACGATATCGACTCCATGCTTGGTTCCCCGTGCATACTCGGCTAGGTGTATTTCGTTGCCGTAACAATTTACTAACGCATTTGCGTCCTCAGCTTTTAAGATTTTCTGAACTGCGTTGAAGGACTTCAGGCATTCTGTCTCGTCTTTGACAAGGCATGCTCCAAGAGAACCTGACCCGTATTCTGGCTTCAACAGTGCCGGATACTGAATAATGTTTGACGATCCCTTCACATCTTCAGGTTGGATAATATCGTGTGTAATGACTGCATAAACATTTGCGTTTGGTAGAGGAGAGCTCCTGACTGTAGATTCCACTAAAACTTTTTGAGTAAGGCTTTTCTTCTTAGTCTTTCTTGAAGCTTCAGGCGTATTACCAGGCAGGCGCAGTGCCTCGCACACCAGAGCCGTCAGAGGAACGTATTCATCAACAACGGTCATGCATCCGTCTACGACCAGGCCTTGAGTGCGAATTATTTGGTCAACACTCTTGGTAATTTCATCGTCATGACTTACGTCTTCTATATCACATTGGATAAACTTGTATACACTTTTGGCCGCACTGTGATTAGGATCAGGGTCAATCAAAATGATCTAAAATGTGTGAGAAACATGCACATAAATATCCGTTTAATGAATGCCTTGACACTTCCCTAAAAGCCAAACAATTACATCTGATAAATTTAAACGGAGAATGTATACCAGAAGAGATACATATTCAGTAAATTGAACAAATCACTTAAAATGGATATAATTTTTGGATTAACCAATAAATTAATCAATAAGTAAGTACATAAAATAAAATAAAATAAATTTGTACACCGCTTGTTGAAAACATTTACCTTCACAAAGTAATTCTCGGCAGCTTCCCAAACAAACTTTTTGCTTACTCCTTCCCCTCCGCCAATTAGAAGGATTTGCTTTCCTCGAAGAAGGAACCGCTGACTACGATTGACCATGGTTGCCACCAGAGGTCGGACGCAACTTCCAAGCTTGGTCGGGTTTTGAAACTCGTAGATCTGCGTGTTCGCGATGGTTTTCCTGCCGTTATTGATGCTTACAACCACGGCGTCATAACTGCTGTCTTCTTGCTGTGTCAAGACAAAATTGACACCTGAAATATATAAAAAGATATTTTACCAATTTGCAATCAAGTCAAAGCGAGAGGATTGTGTTGAATTTTCGTTTTCGTGTGTGTGTATATATATATATATATAGCCATGTACATGATGTTGTTTAACGTAACTTAATCCCTGATTTACCTATTATGCCTGTATCTGACAAAAAACTTCCGCGTTTCTCTTTGTTCATACTCTCCTCGTGCTTCATCCAAATGTCCTCCGCCTTTTTCTTGATCATTGAACGGATCTGTAAATCACATATATGATAACTAATTAATATCTTCAGAGTTTTTTTTTTGGGGAGGGGGGGGGCATAAATATGATACTCCAACGACAACCGCAATTTTCTGTGAAAATTGACAAAAACACTGGAAACAATTGATCTAACTAATAAACATCCCGCATTGACATAAGTGAACTAGAAACGACAAAAGTTTCCAATTAGAATATATTGCTTCATAGACGAACATTTTCAATTTTGGATCTGTCCTGCAATCCCCACTGAACTAGAAAGCTTTCCAGTGACACTGGTAAAGTGTTGTCACAATGAAGCGTTCTGTCCGAGTGACCAACGCCACAGACGACGTCTGAAACCAGCTGATTCCCGTTGGGAGTGCCGCAGACGACAGCTCGGATTGTACAGGACAACTCCTTGCTTTTGATGCCGACTAAAAATGAATAATGTGCACTTATAGTATTTGTTTCATAAATTTATAAGGAGAAAAAACAATGCTAATTAAGCTGTTGTGTGATCCCGTTATGAGTAACATCATGTACGTGATATAATATAGTTTAGCGCAACCATAATATTAACTGATTATGCATAGTTTTAGAAACAGATAGTTTTAGAAACGATAAAATTTTGCTGTTTCTAATACCGAAACGTACCTGCCTGTTCCTCGTAGTCAAGATGAGGGACTGGTAATTGTTTAAGGGTCTCACAAAATGCCTCCACAATGATGCTCTCCCCCTCTTCCAGAACATGTAGACCTTGACACATGGCGCTGTAGACGCCAGCTTGGTCATGGGCAGAATGGTAGGTCACTCTTCCTGAAGCATGTACGCCTACTTTGACAACTACCTAGGGAAAAAAAGTTATTTTGATGATTAAAAAGAAAGGAATTTTGTAAAAAAAAAAACAAACAAACAAAAAAAAACAATGCATATTCTCTTTTGTTGATATTGAGAGAGAGAGAGAGAAAGAGAGAGAGAGAGGAGAATTATTATCATAAACCTTTTTCATTCCTTTTTCAAGCAAGGAACTTATAAATACAGCCGGTTCATTTTTGATCTTTTCTTTTCCGTCGTCTTTATTTTCAACAGCGACCACGTAAATATTGCGTCTCTCCTGGTTATAAGGCGTTCGTGATCTGTACAAAAATGCCAGCGTATCAGGATAGGCAACACCAGCGTCCACAACCAGAATACGAGTGAGAATTCGATCATCCAAACTCTTCATCAAATCTTGCTTGACTCCCAGTGGGCATTCTAAATCTTTTTCAAAATCCACTTTGTAGCTGAGCATGCAAACATTGCTTTTCTCATCATCTGCAATAAGATATGTATTTCATTTCATGCTTTTGCTAGAAAAATTTAATCCACAAAATGACGGCTAAGGAATTTTCAGGCTTAGAAATGCACAGAATTATATAATTTCATATAAAGTTGAAAAAGTAAATAGAAAGATATACAGTGAAAATATACAATAGGATGAGAAAGATACTTCAAACAAATTATATTAATTAATGAGACAAGTAACTTGTAGTAAGATTAAAAAATGAATTAGACATTGATAGGTCTCGAAAATGTATGTGAAAATGAATAATCAAACAAACAAAAAGCTAAATGAATAAATACACGTTGACAGCTATTGTCATATGATGTTATATTTAACTTCTGGATATATATTATACCTGTAGCAAGGTTCATGAAGTAAGTGACACGACGAGGTGGAGTGAAGATGTCCAAAAATGTTCGACCACAAGAATTAAATGTGACAGCCTTGTGTACTCGTAAGGTTTGCAGATCTCCTTCATTGGTGGGTTCTTTCTGAAGCCATGTTAAAGAGGGTACCAGTAACATACCACCAGGACACTGCTTCCCACCCTCTAAACACAGGTTCAGACAGGTGAGAGGTTCTCCCAGTACCACCATCGTGATCTCTTCAATCGTAGACTTTTTTGGCGGGTTCTGTAAAAATTTGCAAGTGATAGTGACATACTGTAGGAAAATGTACTTTTTAACATTAGAAGATAATTTGCTTCCATCCCTTTGACTGAAAGAAATAAGTTGCAAATTAGATGGACGAAAAAGGCCCATTTTTATGAGCGTTCATTGAAAAGTTCACTTGGGCCTTTTTGGATAAACTTACGAAGTTTTGATTATTTCACATTACCTGAGTTCTCTCTACAGTTTCGGGCAAGTCATAAAAACCTAGTCCTTGCTGCAAATCATGCCAAAACTGACTTTTCTTGATTTCTTCGAGCATAAAGCAGTGGTCCATTTTACTTGCCTAATAGTATAAATGTTTCATATCAATATATATTACTGTATCATTAACTGCACTATTTTTATTGGAATATGAAAAAAATTCTGTTAACACGCCATTTCCCTTCATTTGCTTTCACTTACCTATCGCATTTTTATTTATTTATTTTTCTCATAAACTACTTGTTGGTATTTACACCACATCAGATACCCTTTTTATAATAAGTTAATTGTTTTCTGAATATGAGATAATGGTAAACATTATGAAAAATAATGGTATTTCATAATTGTAGAACAAAGACATTTTAGTATTTTTACCTCTGAGAAGGAGGTTATGTTTGTGATTCTGTTAGTTTATTCATTTGTTGGCAGCATTATGCAAATGCCATGGACGGATTGTGATTAAAGGGATAATAACTCTTCGTATGAGGTCTATATTTCACAATAAAAGCATTATGAATAACTCGTAGAAATATAATATATTCTGTTTTACGGCAAAAAGCTATTATTCTGATATCTGAGCTTGTCGTCAGACCACGTGACTTCCATTGATGACTATACTCTGTTAAAATCTCTTAAGAGATTTTAACGAAAAACCAAACTTTTAAGAAAAAAACCAGGGACTAACTCTGAATGTAAAAATGGATTCTTTAACCATTGGTAAGCATGGGAAAATTGCTGTTTACTCCAGGAAAATTCATTTTTTGGCCAAAACGAAGAGTTATTATAGAATAACAGTAGATCAAAACTTGGTCAAGGAAAAATGTTTAAGTTTGGTGAGTGAAACGGATTACTAAAGCTTCGGTCACAACCGGACGCACGAATTTCAGGAGCGTACGTCCCCTGCAATTTTTGGGTGTTGCGGGGGCCGTGGAGGTCGTAGAGGTAGAGGAAAGTCTGCCTTGCGAGTCGCGAGGGCCACATAAGATGTCCTTTCAAGCAGAAACGCTAATTGCAAGGAGCGATGGCCGTGGAAATTGTGCCCATTTATTGATTTGTCTTGATTCCTGCGTACGTGGCACACACTCACCACTTGGGAAGGGAATGCAACGCACGGCGAAAGTAATGTCCTTTTACGTCAGTTTTGCTTCACACTTGCCTCACACGTGTGGTGATGTACTGACGGCGTACGTCAGTTTTGCTTCCTGTTCTCCTCTTCTTTCTTCTTCCTCCTCCCCTTTTCTACTATGTAAGCTTCTTTCTCTTGCCATTTGGAGGCATATTAGTAACTAAATTGAACAAACAATTTGAACATTTTGAAAATTGTTGTACACGTTACACAGTCGACGTTCATTGTAAAGGCACGAGCGTACACCAGGCGTGGGGGGTGACGCACGTGCGACACATTCCCAGTGTGCTCTCGACTTTGTTCGTTAGTTGTGAGGACGTGCGCCTTACTCAACATGCAAAGGGCACTTGCTCCTTCATTGCTTGCGACGTGAGTCTTGCACAACGCGCGTCTCTCTTACTATCTCCGGGCGAGGGGAGCAAGTTACGCTTGCGGCCTCGCTGTTCGCAGGCTATTCGTAGAATCTTTTGGACATGCCCAACATCCTCCGTACGTGAGATTTTGCGCAAAATTTGGACGCAAACAGCCCGTAAGAGCTCGTACGGCCAGTTGTGACCGAGGCCTATATTGAATTGCAACTAATTACCATTAAAACGCGCTCTCATGGCACTTAGATGTTTGCACTTGTAAAATGTCGATATTTTAAATTTATAAAGAGTGACACTTAGTTTATAAAAGTGACATATGTACATATGTATCTATAAACCCTGAAATAATGATGTTGTATTTGGTTAAAAGCGCTAGATAGCGAACGACAGAACTTTCTCAGCAGATTTTTTGAAACAGTTTACGTATGCCAGGCAGATTGTTACCTTTATATTTTCATGTTGTGGTTAAAACCAGGCCATGATATATAGATATATATTTTAATGGTACCAGTAGGTGTAACGACAGTATTGAGCCATTTGCATGTTACAGCATTTGTCAAAGTCAAGGAACAGACTCAGTGCTATGGACTATGAAATATTCCTACAGTATAGGCATTTTAGCGTAAAAACTTTCTTTACTGTTTTCTCTACTTTTTGAACCCTCCATTTCACGAAAAAAATACTTTGCTGTGTGACGTCACATTGCTTGGGCATGGGATGATACCCTAATTATGTAAACATGTCGGAATTGAAAATGGCAAAATCATTGGGAAAGTATCCCTCATTTTACTTCTTACCTTGATGTTAAGTTTCACGAAAAGTAAAGAACATTGAGATCGCCTCTCGGGTTTTCAAAAAGTAATAAGTCGACCTCAACCTTAAGACTCAGACTTCTTGCGCTCTGTCGATGTTACTGATATATGAACACAGTGATGAGACTGCCAACGTGTAAAATGTCACGATTAGTTTGCGCATGCTTACACACTTTGTAACCATGCAGGTTACGCACTCGGCTATATGTAATTTAGAGGTGTAAATTTTCTACTACTAAAAGCAATGATCACAAAGGAAATAAACAGGCGCTGAAAGTACAGTAAGAATGAAAAGTGGAAAAGTTGCAGCGTCTTAGGTTTTACTCAAGCCTACTATTATAAACTACTTTAGCAGAAATCAAAGGTTATGGAGACAGAGTCTGTCAAGGAAAGAAGTTTTCATCTGTGATATTTAGTCAGATAACGGTGCAATTAACAACATTGTAAAAAATACAAAATAACCTTGGTTTTTGCTCATACAGTTCTGTTGCAGTTACTTATCTGCACTGATATTTAATGAATTTGTGTTAAAATGCATTCTGATAGTGTTCATTGAAATACACCCAGTATTCCCTACAGCTGCGTTCTCGTCCTTCATTCCCAGGACAACTTCAGGAAAGGGGACAGAAAGCGCTCCACTGGATACTGTTGGTTGTCTATCCCATATTTCCTGCAGATAGCCAACAGCTTTTTCTTCGTCTCATTTACAAATTTCCCCTTTACAGCTACCTGGCATAACAGATCCAAGGGCTCATTTTCTTTCAACTTGTACTCCATTGGAAACAAAATTATTTCCCCTTTTTCATGAGCCTCGGCAAGGATCTCCAGTGTAGCAATGCCCGGTCGAGATGGTGCCTTGGCTTGGGCTGTTGTGGTACACATGACCCCTATCAGCTGACACCTTGGCTCCAATGGCCGGACGCTGGGTTTATCCCACATACAATTAAGAAATTTAGGAAAAGGATATCTGTTTCAAAGACGGTACGTATCCAGTTACGCCGGTTACTCGTCCGTTGATCTCGATCAGTTTCGGTCCCGTCGGCGCCATTTTAAACTCTACACTATATACTCCATCAGTGAGATCAACCGCGTCAACACACTGCTTTGAGGCCACTACCATCTGTCCTTGCTTGTCAAGGGGTAAACATAACGGAATACACGATGAAGTCTCAAAAAAGAGAGGAAAGCGGGTAGGTCCACAATCAGAGATGAATGCTGCTAAAATCTATCCTCGAAACATGACGACCTACACCCCATGTATGGTTCCCATTGCATACTCTGCTAGGTGTATTTCGTTGCCGTAACCAATACCAAAGGTTTCTTTGTCCGTATTCTCTAATGTTTTTTTTAATGTTGTTGAAATATCTGAGACACTTTTCTTCGTCCTCGACGAGATGGATACCGAAGGAATATGTCCCGTATTCCGGCTTCAGAATGGCGGGATCGATTCCTAATAAGATTTGACGATCCTTTTACATCTTCAGGTCGAACAATTTTGTGTATCTTGACTGCATAAAGATTAAGGTTTGGCAAGAAAGAGCTGCACGTTGAAGACGCCAATATAGCCTTTTGGCTCAGACTTTTCTTCTTAGCCTTTCTTGAAGCCTCGGGGGTGTTTCCAAGCATGCGCAGTGCTTGACACACCAGCGCTGTCAGAGGAACGTAATTCTCGCCCACATGTAGTGATGCATCCATCTCGGCTAAGCCCTGTGTGCGCAGTAGATGAACACTTTTCTCGGCATTTATTCAAACGCCCGTTTAAAGGTCCCTCGTGAACAAGAGATTATTGCAAGCCGGTTATTTTACACGACCAGTGCGGAAACCGCTACACGACCAGTGCGGAAACCGCTGTTAACAGCAGTTCATATACAGCGACACCTGTAGTGGTCTGGGGACCACGTGCGTTTGCAGCCAAACCACTGTAAACACGTCGTTTTCAGTGATGAGGCCAAATATGGAGTTTTTAGAGTTGAGAGTCGAATCCGTATATGCCGTCGTGTACGAGAGGTATATAACGACAATTGTTTACTGCCTTGGGTGCAAGCAGGGGTGGTAGCGTCTCTGTTTGGGGAGCATTTCATGCCGTTGCCAAAACCCGTTTTTTTTTTTTTCTTTTTTTTTTTTTCTTTTTTTTTTTTTAAGGCAACCTCAAACAGGATTTTTTTCAAAACTAAGGGGTTCAGCAACTACCCTGGCCTGAAAACTCCTCAGATATAAAACCGATTGAAAATCAGTGTTGGCGGTTGTAACTCCAGGCAAATATCACTGCGCGGAATGATATCCCCATCCAATCTCTGAAAAACTTGTCACAGGGTATGCCATGTAGTGCGAGGGCGCTGCAAGCGGCTGCTGGAGGTCTTACCCGCTGTTGGTTACAACTTGATTTAGTGTAATGAATTATTTGACTGTGTAGCATAGCACTGTCCTGAGGCTATCATTTTCTTTAATATCTTAGCTTAAAGTAAATACTGACATCAAACTGTTGATATGGTTTTCTGGCGGTGTTCTTTTCTTTGGAATGATATCTTATGTCACATTTGATATCACTGACTAAAATATCTCACAATAGAAGACTGAATATATCATTCAATGACACAAATTTTTCATAAATAAAGCCAAAAAAAAAAAAATTATCTGTACTCAAAAATGAAAATGATAAAAAAATTCCATATTAAGTATTAACTCTGTACTGTGGTATTTACTCCCCCAGCAAAAGAGTGTCACCCCTAACGCAATTTTCTTAAAGTGATACAGAAAATAATTCAATACCTGTGTCCTTGCCGACATGCGTCATATTATTATAGAGTTCTATGATTTAAAAACTTTTTAATGAGAAAATAAACCAAATATACATTACCGTATTTACATGATTTACCTAAAATGCCCCTATTTTGCTGTAAGGCTGATTACATGTAGGTGAATTTCCAACTGACAAGAAGGTTTAATTTTACGTTTACTGTTTTCTAACTGTGCATAGCTTGCCATGAATCTATGGTCTAGACACCCTCAGCAACTCTATGAGTCTCCAGATCTGTTTACATAAACTGACATACCAGTTCGGAGATTCTGGAATTTGTTTGTTCTCTTTTTGGTCAATATACTGGATATCAAAAACAAAACAGTTCAAAGTTTTATACTGGGGCAAAATCACATGAATGTAGGTATAATCACCTCTTAACTTTTGTTTTAGAATTGTACTATAATAAAATTATACGAAGTATTTTAATGTTTTTTTCTTGTAAAACGTGCCTTGTGTGTACCATGCTGGGAAAATGCGACAGATAAAAATAACTGCCTTCCTCGAAGCCCGAGCTTCTACGACCTGACCCCTTACAAATAGCGTGAAGGTGCTATATTTACTGAGGTTATTAATCAGGTCATCAAATCGTACAAATGTGACAAAATATATACACTAAGCAAAATATAAACACCCCATGTGGATTACTTATGTAACTTGTAATTGGGTAAGGACAGTTATCTGTAGCACATTGAACAATTAATTTCGTATGATTATATATATAGCCATAATGCTCATAAAACGTTTAAAGTATTACATGTACGTGGTGCGTTAATATTATTTTGCTCAGCGAATATATTGAATGTAATAATATAATAATAATAATATATTTATTTCAAGTCTAAAATCCATAAAATGTTCAATAGACTGTACAACATAAAATACAAAGAAGTTTATAGATAAAAATGGTTAAGATATATTTTATATAAATAAGAGCTAAACTAACTTAATTAATTGTAATAAACAGTAATTAAAAGTAAAAAATCCAAGGTTTCTTTAAAATTATAAAATTTAAGATTCATGAATAAAATGTCTTAAAAATATGAGTTTTTAATTCCTTTTTAAAAGATTCTTGTGATTCTATTTGTCTAATAAAAATTGGCAACTTATTCCACTCTACTGGTGCAGCTACACAAAATGATATGTCACCATATGATTTTAACCTTGATTTTGGAACTTTCAGTAAAAGTTTGTCACCAGACCTCAGGGATCTTTGAGGGCTATAATGTTTGACTAAATCAGTTATATATGGTGGAGCTAGATTATAAAAAGCAGCATGTGTAAAAACTAAAACCTTAAATAAAATTCTGGCCCTAACTGGTAACCAGTGCAGATGCTTTAAAATTGGAGTGATATGGCAATCCCTAGGCTGTAGCATTAAAAGCCGTGCTGATATATTCTGGATGCGTTGTAATCTTTTGATCTTATCATCTGGACATCCATATAATATAGAATTGCAATAGTCTAGCCTGGAAGTTACCAATGAGTGTATAACAGTAGCAGCAGCAGATTGATTCAGATGTTTCCTTATGGTACCAATATTCCGAATGTTGAATAAACAAGACCTTGTGATGTTGGAGATCTGTTTGTCCATTGAAAGTGTAGAATCAAAGTATACTCCTAAATTTTTTACATGGGGGGAGGAAAATGCCATACTAGCTCCAATTTTAAGTTGCAAGTTATGAGCAAGGCCCTTGTTGTGGGGTTGAGTAATGACTAAAAATTCTGTTTTTCCATCATTTATCTTCAATTTGTTTGAAATGAGCCAACCTCTGAGGTCTGATATGCAATCAACAATTGTGTTCACAGACAATGCTGGATCATGGATGTTACAAGATGTGTACAACTGGGTATCATCGGCATAAA